ATTTCTTCATAATTATAAGTGATATGGAATATTTCAAGAATATTTTTACAACTGAGAATCATAATTCACATAGTCTACATCTTTCTCTGAGGAAACTGTCATACTTGATTAATTATTTTATTAAAATATATTATATCCCTATTGTCACATCCTTGCAGCTATCTTCCCTGCCCCTTAAAGCAACACTAAAACCAGAATATGTAGCAGGTACATCTCTTCAGCCTGACTTTTGTACTGATCTGACAATACAAGATCTCAGAACTTTTCTAGTTTGTATTAAACCCTGTGTTTAGGCCCAGAGATGGCTGTCTCCCCTGTTTCAGTTTCATCTTTGTGGATGGCCCATCTTGGGAGGGGATCAGCTCATCCCCACCTCAGGTACCATCTGACAATTCACAGCCCTTTGTGGCAGTGACTGGAGACCACTGCCAGACTCCAGCTGGTAGCCTGTGTAAAAGAAGTAGACAATTATATGAAAACGTGTACAAACAGACTAAGATAATCCCCTGATTGATGAGTGAGAAGCTTCAGTGTGAATGAAGCACTCCTCTCCATGAATACCACAGAATGCTGATGACTTGATGCAATTGTTGTGTCCTCTTACTGGGGGAGATGGATGGATTTGACCAAGAGGTGCACTGGAAAGCTGAGCATAATACCAAAGTAACACATAAGTAGTAGAAAAGCTTTTTACAAAATGTTTTTAGGGGGACTATTAAGAACCCTTTGGGTATTAATTTGGGCAACGAGTGATAGTACTAGACAAATTTAACTATTAAGCTCTTAAAACAGTAACAGTTTTCTTTTATATATGTGTAAAAGTATTTTTATGTTTATGACCTTTTTCAAAAGAGTCTTTGTGTAACTCGCCAATTAAGCAAATAGACTATTTTAAACTAAAGCACCTGAATGATGGAAGCTCTAGCATAGTGGCTCCAAACAAACACATCTCATTCTCATAGTATGTCCTGTCCCTCAAGTGAGGAGGGAGCTCATTATAGTCTGCAAAGAGGCCAATTGGACCATTGGGGAAGGCAGGAAATTCAAGTCCCCCTTACAGGAATGTGTGAAAAAACTCAAATAACCTCAAGTGCTCTATAAACGGTTGTTTTTTAATCAATCCCGTCCTCCCACCTGAGGAGCAAAACACCACACAGATTCAACAAAACATAATCAAATGTAAAACAACTTATCTTAAACCACTACATGTTATCTAGAGTAAGCATACTGAGCAGTACCATTACAGAGGTAGCTAAGATATTTTTATTTCCTGTAGGTTATGATTGAGTCACATTAATTTTCTATGCATCTTCAGAACAGAACAATAACATCCATCAAAATTGTAAAGACATCCTCTTTGTATAAGAGACACTTGCTCTGGTGGACTCTGGGGCCTGGAGAACCTCCTTCCCAGCTGCTAAATCCCAGCCCAGTGAACCCAAAGATCTGTGAGTCCCATCCATTCAATTATTGCAGCTGCTGCTTTCCTGTTTGCAGGCTCAGCCAGCAGCCAAGATGAACGTGTATGCCAAAGATGCACACATGCAGAGGACACTAATGCAGCCAGCTACAGACTACCCACAGATAAAGAATTGCCTTTACCAGCACCCACCCAGAACTCACATAAATCATATGTACAAACAGCCAAATTTTAATCATTTTCTTTGACTGATAAGGATGGAAGCTTGCTAGTAAAGACACACAGCTCCTCACCCTTTCAAAAGGAGTGACATATTTGTGAACTCCTTCAATACACAGCCCCTTATCCTCTGTTTCCCAAAGACCAACACTTTTGTGAACCCTTTCAGCAGCAGTGTGGGACCCCAGCTCATCTCATATTGATACCCAGATCCCATGCCTCCCGCTCGACAGACAGTCCTGCTTGAAGGGTGCTAATGAGCAGCACATGCACAAGCACACGTGCACATGCACACCTGTACACACACTCAGAGACCAGCTTAGAAGAAAATATAAACTTCTATCTTCCAAGTGGCTCCTGCCAGTGCACACAGGCCCTAGCACCCTTGCTACCCTCTTCATTTGCTGATGCTGGGACTCTCACCTGCTCCAGCTGGTACAGCCATGTGAGCCACAATTACTCATTTATATGTTTGACATGAAAGGTAACTTTTTTACCACGACTGTATACAGTGATTCAAGTTGGGTTTTTCTCACTTCATTGCTGTAGTAGGTTATCTCAATTGGGCAAGTGTCTGATGCCCTTTGCTGGCACAAAATTGACTCTCTTCAGAGACACACTCCTACAGTCTGTGGTCTCCCTTCAGCTTTCTGATGCATAGACCCTCATTTACTCCAAATGCTGGCACCAAAACTATTAGGACCATTATCGCCAGTGGTCTAACTCAAATTGCAAATATTTTCAGGCAGTTTTTCTTCAAATTCAGGCACTTTTTCCTCTCTAGTTCTGGCATTGTAACCTAATAACACATAGATGGGGAGAGAGTAAGATACATGGAAAGACAGTAAAGATTTAATGAAAAGAATAGGTAGACTACAGTGATTCAGTGCAGGTCTTAGTCAGACAAGAGTACTGAGCAGCAACTGCTTACACACAACCAACCTATTTTTCCCTCTTTCATTTCTGCACCCACCCCAACACACCCTGTATTTGTTTTACCCATGTTCCCTTCCTCTAAATGCTTCTTCATAAGTCTAAGGGTGAAAATTCTGGTATGAATCAGAGTATCCAATCATAAAAATACTGACAAACCTAATGCTAGCTGTTTCCTGTTATGTTAAAAATCTTTCATCAGTAAAGAGTAAAGAGAGCTTTGAGACCTCAGTGAATGAATCAAACAATTAATAAAAAAGAAAAATACATAACTGAAATGAAAATTTACATTGTTTGTCAAATAGATCCAGTCTATCTTTGTGAACATAACAACTTGGACCCAGCAACCTTTACTAATTTTGAATAAATGCTTTCAGAGCATTTTTATTTTAAATTTATTTACATTCCATCAATATAGAGTAACACGTATATTTAATATTTTCACTCAGATCATGTGAATTAGTTACTGTTAGTGTCTTGACTCACTTTAGAAAAAAAGCTAGGACAAAGCTAATAAAATCTTAAAAATAATGTGCACAATCTTGTTTTTATGTTTTGTTTTCTGTGTGCAAGTTCAATATCAAGACAGAAGAATGTTTTGAATTTTCTGCCAATTTCACACAATTAAAATAGCATTCAATTTACAATATTCATAATTACGCAACTCACCTTGGCTGAGACTACAATACAGCGGCAATGGAACAACAATAGGAAAATGTCTGTTTTCTTAGAAAAAATGTGCTTTCACATAGTAGTATTCTTTTAGGTAGATATTTTTCAAATTGCCTTTGTATTTGCAAACACCTTTATGTAGGACCATAGGAAGACATGCAGACTTAAACTACCACATTTGGTTAGTAAATAATTGTAAAATTATACTGTGCTAGTCAATCAGTCCTGTTATATTACAGAACCAGAAAAAAAATGTTAAATTTCTTCTCCTTCTAAGATACTCATTCTTAGAAACAAGAAAGGATTCCCCATTTTCTTTTGGCTAAGTGGAAAATAAAAAGGCAGCTAGTTACACTCATGGTCTCCTTTCTTCCTTCTCAAATCTTACCAGCTAATGCAGAGTAGATTGCAGTGTATCTTGCCCTCCAGTAGTTTAGAGTATTAAACTATTTTCATTCATTATAAATATGGATTTACTACACCTGGAAGGGTGTTCCTCCTGTCTCATTTCTCCCATCCCTCACCATGTCAAAATTGCAAGGATAAAAAAGATTTTTGTAGGGAAAATTTCAAAAGTAATGTCCCTATACAATTTGTGTGAAAAGAACAAAGGTAAGTGTTTGAAAAAGATATGGACCATGAGGGGGTGGTAAACCAGTTCTAGAAAACTACTAATAGATTTTTTTTTTGTTTAAAAAAAATGAATTTAATTTTCAGTTTTCTCAGAATTATGCTGACAATGATGCTTCTATAGTGAAAGAAAAGGAAGAAAGTGGGTATAGCAAACAGATTTACTAGGAATGTAGAATTTGGCAGGTCTATCCCATTTTTAAAAAATATATTTCTATACAGACTTAATTAAAATATCAACAAGGATCTTCAGTCTTTCACTATGAAAATAAAGATTGGCATTTTGATCCCTATAACTCCGTTATGTTTGCTTTTTTTTCTTTTAACTCTTCATTTCAATGCAATAAATTCTTAATATTCTATAATTGACAAGATAAGTGATGCTTCTGAGAGAGAGAGATTTTAAAAATTTTACTGTCTTTGTGTATTCAAGATTTAGCTTTATACTTAGTTCCTTCTTAAAGACTATTCTGAGTGTTACCACTTTTCTCACATCCATACAGTGAACTTCAGTTGTGAAGCACAAAAATAGTTTTTACTGCTATCCTAATCCCCCAAAAAAGTGTTTACAATAATATATTTTTTTACATTTTAGATACATTTTTATTCAAGTTTTTCTTATGAAAACATCTTATTTGTCCCATATATAATAAAAAAAACAATTATCTTCTTTCTTTTTAATCAAGTTGCACCCATAAATCATGACACTATCGACTCTTTAGATTATTCCCATTTTATATTTCTATTATATCTGTAAGAGCATATTGAAATTATGAATACAAATGGATTCAAAATCATCCATCAAAGAAGAGTTCTTGATAACTGTATTTGAGAACCAGTGATCAATGATTAAGCGTCTTCCTCTGTTATACTGCCAATAGAAGAAAGGTACTTGTGGACGGCATCTGATTATGAAAAGCTTCTATCATTTATATGTTTTTACTTCAGTACATGAGTAATTTGTAAGTCTGATTTCTATATTTTACAGAACTTATTTTTACAAAATCTAAGGATATGGTAATCTGTGCAATCATCAAAAATAACTGTTTTAATAAAGCAAATGTTCATACTATTACTATAACAGATAAAATTATTATTGTAAGACAGTAAAAAAGGTGTTTCCTACCTGTAAAACCCTTGTCACACTCACAAAGAAAAGTGTTTGGAGTAACATCGATGCAGTTACCATTGAAACATGTAGATGGCTGGCACTGTCCAACTATTTCTGTGCAATTTTTACCTGTGTCAGAGAAATAATAAGAACATTGGACTTTAGTAAATATTTAGTGTATTTGATGAACATTTTATAAATGTCAAGTCAGAAAGATATTAATCTATTTTTGTGCTCACAATACTGTTCTTAACCTCTTCTGATATATAGTTACAAATTTACATATACCTTAAAATGCAGAAGTGCTACTAGAACTGTAGTATTTTTTTAAACATGAATATAGCTTACAGTTTCTTTCAGCATTGAGAAAAAAAGATGTACTTATGTGGAGTGGAAATGTGAGAACTTTTTTTTAATAAGCAGCTTTCTGGGAATTACAATTCCAGTTATAAGTTGTTTATGCTATTAGAGCATACAGGTCTAAATACCTTTTAATTATGCTTGCCTCTTGAATTATTACCATGACATTATTCACAGTTCAAGAAGTGTTCAAATTTCTAACAGACTTTATGTTATGGGAGACACTTTTTCCTCCCTCATTCTTGTGTAGCCATGCCTATAATATATGGTGCTTTAGTCTCCTAATTCTTCTTGTTTGCATCCATCTTATTTATAAGACCAGTATTGTCAGTTCATGACATTACCTAAAACTTTCCTACACGGGCTAAAAAAAATGTTTTAAGCATTGCTTGTTGATAGCATTAAGTATGATGATTGCTTTTAACAGAATTGCTTGCAAATTTTTTCATTAATTTGAGTTCAATTAGTACCAGACGCTTTTGGTACTGTTATTTTCAAAGCATTTTACACAGCCTCCAGTAATGATAAAGGAAATATAAAACATACTGCATAGCATCAATGTTTTCCACTATCTTATTACACTGTTCATAATTATAAAAAATCTTCTCACAACATTGACTTATTCATACCTGCATAATCTTCCATTGGCAAATGCATTAGTAACCAAATTATTATGCACTTTGAAAAGCAATTAAAAATAAATTACAGCAATCTTCATGCAACATAAGCTTCATTTCTATGAAGTGTATTCTATGAACCTCACTCATCCCTAAGCCACCAGCTGTGCTTCATAACATACCATCACTATTGTGAGAACATAGAAATTCAGTCCAACAGAGGAACATTTCAAGAATTCTGCTCCACAAGTACAAAAAGAGCTAAAATAATTCTTTTTTGATGAGAATGAATATTTCTGGTACTTTCTAAAACATACTAAAACTCTATTGGTCTGAATGCAGGAACAACAGCCCCATAATTTCCTTAATCCATATGTTTTTCCTCCATGAAATAAAGATAATAGTTAAATAAGAGTTTACCCAGTTATGTTGTATTCCCTGGTATGGTAATCCAAACCCAAATTCAGTTTCTACAATGAATTTTGGGTAAGTGCTGCAATTTTTCCTAGGAGGAATATTTGATTTTTCTTTTTTCATATGTGACATATTTAATTTGAAAATAACAGTATGTTTAACAAATTGCCTTTGAAAACAACTTTAGGGGACAGAACAACCTGGAAGAAAGTATTAAATATTTTATTTCACTTGTTCTTCTAAGTTAAGGTTTGACCTTTCAGTTAAACAAAATTTTGATTTAAAAAAATTCATTAAGGTAATCTGAAAGGTCTTTAAATGAAAATGGAGGGGGGTTCTGGCAGATTGAATGAAATGCTCATTTCAACAAAATCATTCTTTTTCACCAGTTTGGTTAACCAGCTATTTTTGGGGGACCTTATGCTACATGATTTATGTTATTTGGTCTTAGAACCTGAACTGCAGAACAAAAAAGTAAAACAGTTACTTCTGTAAGTCAGGAAGCATTTATTTATGTCTCATGCTTAAGTAGGAAAGAAGCAGGATAAGAACTTATTCTGTTTTTCTCTACAATGTATTTATTAATATCCACAAATACAAACTGTCTTCAAATCCCTGCACAGTCTCCCATGAGTGACACCATGTAAAAGAGACTCTGCAGGCATGGTAGCAGCTGTGGGCAATCAAATTATACAAAAGCCTTGCTAGAGTTGTTCTTATTGTTCTATCATCTGTTAAGGAAAGGGCATGATATATATAATATTTGCACCTTGAGGAGAAAAAAAATACCTGAAAATTTTGGAGGACATGTGCATTCATAAGAATCTTCAGAAAGCTCTGATTTCTCCATGCAGGAGGCATTGTTGTGGCAAGGTTTAGCAGAGCATATATCAAACTTCTGGCAGAACGTTCCTGAATACTGTGAGAAGCAATGGCAATTATATGTTTTCTCCCAAACGTGGCTTAGACATTTTCCATGTCCAGAGCATAGTGGTGCACCCGGAGACTGTTGGCAAAGCTGCTGCTTCACAGTAACATTCAGACGGAGGCCCATGTTGCACAAGAGTGGACCTCTCTTGTGAAGTTCTGCAAAGTAGTGAGTTCCAGCACCAAGCCAGTTAGGGTCCACTTGGTGCAGTCCTTTTATCTGGCAAACAAAAATCAACTGCTCTTGAAGAAAACCAGCCCTAGGGCAGTTAATAAATTCTTCCTTGGAGACATTTACCAAATTCATTCCATAGGTCTGAAAGGATGGCTCGGAGGAAATGAAGAGAGTATCACCTAATTGAAGCTGTAAAGGGCATATCTGAGGGATACTGAGGTTATGTTCTTCCGAAATTTCACCAAGAATACTTTTATTCATATTCCAGCATTCAGTGTAAAAGTCTGAACAGACATTTTCCCTTGGTGTCCATTTTATTACAGTAGGCTTTGGTTCTGTTCTCCATTCACTAATCATTTGCCTCTCACATATTCCCTGCCCATTGACAATGCAAAGTTGAAGAAAGCAAACTACCATGCAAAATGCTGATTTCGTAGTCATCATTTCACCTAACCAATGGAAGTTTCCTTTCACATATGCTTCATTACTGAGGATAACTTCAGAACATTTGTTCCTTAAGGTTCACATGTACTTTCCATGGTAGCCTAGGAATTCAAACAGAGGAAAATATTTCTGTTTTCATACCAAATACAGCTGGATATTAAAACCACATTACAAAACAGAAAATGTATAACAAATCAAGGGCAACATCAAATTAGTAATGGGAACTTAAAATAAGTAAAATGAACCAATCAGAACTACAGCATTAAACAATAGGAAAATTAAACAATAAGCAAATGTCTGATTTCTTAGAAAAATGTCTCTTTTCACATAGTAGTATTCTTTTAGGTAGCTATTCTTTAAGTTAGCTTTGTGTTTGCAAACACCTTTACATGTTTTCCTATTTTTATTCCTGCTAAAAATTTGATATTTTTCTAGTGCATTTCATTGTACTTGTATGCACAAGAGAAAGAGATTAAAGACATACTTTTCATGTTCCCTGCCTCTAATGACAAAATTAATCATAATAAAGTTAAGATAGGGCATCTGAGGCAAAACGAGGAACTGAACAAGAACATCTAAGTCCTAGTCATAAGATTTAACCATAAAAGTTTTTCTGATAATCATTTAACAGTTTATTATAAAAGTAGATATTCCAAAGATGTAGGCCTGAGAATTTTTAAAGAAAACATGCAACCACTACTCAATTTGTTTCTGTTCTTAAACTTTTAACAAAACCCTTAATTAAATCCTTACATTTCAAAAAATATATTTGAAAAGCAAATATCCTTAATCATATGCTTGAGACTTTTATATATTACAGTCAAAGACGACAGATTAGAGAGTCCTCCAGAACTATTTAATTTATAGACTAGCCTTTTCTGTCCCTTGACTATATCTAGTAATTTTTATTGCATTGAGATGAGTGATTACAGAACAAAAACCAAAATAAGATTACAAAACTTTTGCTTGGAGTCATAATGAAAATGATGAAAATTTAATATTATGTTAAATACCTTAAAACTTTTCAATAGCTTTGCATTAGCTTAATTTGTTTTAAATACAAAGCTTTTTTTCTCTTTTAGTCTTTTTTCCCTTCAGTATCCCTATCTGGTACTCTCAGATATTTATATTCCCCTTTAAGATAGTGGCTGCTAAACTAATATTTACAAAGGAGAAAGTTATTCTAAAGAAAATTTATCTTACAAGGGAAGACATTCAGTGTAAATAAACAGTAGCATTTATAGTTTGAAATTTCTTCACATTGCTTTCATTTTTGCACGGCATATGTAAAAATAATGTAGATGCATATTTTTCTACACCTATACACATGTAGTTTTATTGGGTTTTCATGGCCTGGTTGAGGTAGGTGGAGGGTTTGAGGGGTGGCTTTCTCAATGAGCAGCAGAGTCAATGCCAGCCAGCTCCAAGATGGATGTGATGCTAGCCAATGCTGGGCCAATCAGAAAGGGGGGTAAGACCTATGAGATAAAAGATTTAAGAAGACAAAGTTATTGCACTGTTGCAACTGCAGCCAGCGAAGAGCAGAGTGAGAACATGTGAGAGGAACAGCTCTGAAGACACCCAGGTCAGTGCAGAGGGAGGGGCAGGAGGTGCTCCAGGTGCCAGAGCAGAGATTCCCCTGCAGCCCCTGGTGCAGCCCATGGTGAGCCAGCTGTGCCCTGCAGCCAGGGAGGGCTATGGGGATGCAGAGATCCACCTGCAGCCCTTGGAAGAGACCCACACCAGAGTAGATGGATGCCTGAGAAGAGGCTGTGAGCTTATAGGACATCCAGGACATCCACGTTGGAGCAGGATCCTGGCAGCGATCTGGAGACCAGTGGAGGGAGGAGCCCATGCTGGAGCAGGTTTCCTGGTAGAACTTGAGACCCTGTGAGGAATTCATGCTGCAGCAGCCTTTTTCTGAAGGACTGCACCCCATGGAAAAGTATCCCTCACTGCAGCAGTTTGTAGAGAACTGTTGCCTGTTGAATGGGCTCACAATAGAGAAGTTTGTGGGGAACTGTCCTCCTTGGGAAGCTCCCCATGCTGGAGCAGGGGAAGGACTCCTCTTCTGGAGCAGCAGCAGAATCAACCCATGGTGAACTGACCATAAACCTCATTCCCTGTCCCCTGTGCCACTGGGGTAGGAGGTAGCACTGGGGAAGATGGAGGGGTGGGGGGAAGGTGCTTTTAAGGTCTTATTTTACTTCTCATTATTCTGCTTTGATTTTTTTAGTAATAAATTCAATTAATATCTTTAATTTAAATCTGTTTTGCCTATGACTATGTCTGGTAAGTGACTGCTCTCTACCCTTAACTCAAGTAATGAACCCTTCATTATATTTTCTCTCCTCTGTCCAGTGTGGAGAGAGGTGATGGAACAGTTTTGGTGAGTGCCTGTCATCTACCCAGAGTCAACACACTGCACTAGTTTATCACAAAAGTGCAGGTAGATTATGATGCAACAGTACATGATTTCCTGATTTGTCCTCATTTTCCCCAAATTTCTTCAAGTATATTTTGGTCCATACTATGGACTAAGCTGAAAGATGAAAGGACTTTCAAAGGACAAAGAAAAGATACTGTTTGTGGAAAACTTTAGTTGAAGAATTTAAAAAAAACTTAATGATCTGATGGTAATTATAGGATAATATTAAAGGATCATATTCAGTCTCTCCTATTTCTGTCTAAATTGGGATGAAAACATGTAAAATGTAGCTATATCCTATTAGTAATATGCTGAACATGTGAATCTGTCCCAATGACCTTTGTACAGCAAAGTGGCCAGCACTGTTTAAGATACCAAAAAAGGGTGGACTATGACTATCTAATAGTAATAAAAGGAGACTTGGAGTTAAGAATATTAAACTAAGAAGGGGTGCAAACTATATTTTGACCCTTCTCCCAGAACAGTTTTCATTTTAATTGCTAGATCCAAATTTTGCCTTCAAAGAGTTTCAGTACTCTAGCCACATAGCTCCAAAGTTAGGCAAGTATGTTAATACTAATTTCCCCTCTCTGCCTCTGTATTTTCACCCCTGGGAATTAACTCCCCATAGAAAGAAAGAAAGGATATGGATCTGTGAGAAAACTACTATTCTTCCTGCTGAATAATCATAGTCTTTCTATTTTGAGACCATTGCATTATCCTCATAATCTCATGATGTTCAAAGACACCATTAGATGATGGGGTATCAAATACGTAGTTTGGGTCATTTAGCATTTTTTTCTTTTAAGGTAGCAGTCTTGAACTATTATGCTCATTATAACTGCTATTACATCTGTCACTGTTATCAGGTATAGAAGTCTATGGTCTATATTACCACGTAGATATAGAAATCCTACATTCAGCAGCCCATCTTTTCATACCTATTTCATAATGAGATTTTCTCAGGTTATTTTTTCCTTTTATACACTTCAAAAAGAAAGCAATTGCATATCTAATGCAGAATAGTTCTTGCCCTCTTACATTTTGTCCTTCATTCATATAATTATGCATCATTCTGGTGTCATATACAAATTTCATTTTTACTGGTAATGCAAATGTGCTTCATTACAATATTTATATGGGATAAATCTAAACTACTTAAAAATAAGTAGTTGGTAGAATTTTTACAGTTTTTATTCTTCACAAAATCATTATTAGTCTTCATGCAGCTAAAAAATTATTATGGAAGTTTTATAACTAGAAAACAAAATAAAAATAAACAAAATTAAGTAAACAAAAATGTATTCTAAAAGCAATGAAAAAACCTGAGGGAAAATAGAAAAAAAATACCAGGAGCTTGTTTATTTAGCAGTAAAATCATAAAGGGAAAAAATATAGAGTGAAGAGTATAAAAAGTAAAAACAGTAAAAAGCTCTGTATGAAATACAGTTATAATATTAACATATATTACTTAGAAAATCAGAAAAAAATTAAATAACTGTGAAATGCTGATGCCATCTCATGAGATAAAATGATGTAATGAGTTGAAATTTGAAAGGGATTATGACAACTGTTATATTTTGCATCTGGTTTAGGCAAGGATAAAATTTTCCTATGTATAAGCCCAGCTGGCTCCATGTAATTGATGAAGACTAAGGAAATTCAAGATTGGGATTTGTATGGACACAGAGATACTTGAAGAAAATCTAACTCTTAAACATACATACATAAGGCTTGGTGACAATCAGCACAGTGCTCTATTTTACACTAGAGGAGAATAAAACAGGTAGATTTATGCAAAACTTCAACAAAAATTAATCCCAAATGATCTACATTCCTGTCCAGCATTTTAAGGATTATGTAGTCTTTCTATTAATAACTGGTATTACATGCTAATAACAAACAATACAGTGCATTCATTATAAGTGAGATTGTAGAAACACCCACAGATGATATTTGACTTTAACAACTTCTTAGGAAAAGAAAATCTGACAGAGAAGAGAATAAACCAGAAAATGTTTAGTAACATCATGCCACCAGGTTTTGGCTAGGAATTAACCTCCTCTTTCCACCTTCTCACACATCACATGACCCCTTTATTAAATTCCTTCCTGTGCTTGAGCAGCTTTGGTAGGATGGACTGCAACTCTGGGTCAAGGTGATGTGAAGTAACTGAGAGGGTGCTGTTGAGGGGATGGGGGGTGCTTTGTGGGTGCCCCCTACCTTCCTCAGGAGCTGCATTGAAGCTCAAGTTCTAATTCCTGCTATTCATCTGGGCTACAGTACAAGTGAGTAGGTACTTGCCCTTATATCTTGATTACTTGGGCCTTGACCCTTCTTAAACATTTTATTTTCTTGAGCACCTGTCTCCTTGCTGTTTATGTGTCTG